AGGGGGGGAGCGTAACAAAGCAAGCAACAAAAATTAGCAAGAACCCATGTCTAAATAAAAAAAAGAACCACAATACTGGTGAGGTGATGAGTTATTCATCACTTCATAAGTATTAACCCACATGCATTGAGTCGGAGGGATGAACAAGGCTGCAGCAAATCCACAGAGAGCCCCCCAACTTTAAACCTGCAAGGCCTCCAACTCTGCATTCCTTCTCATCAGGATAAAAATCATAATAATGCAGCAGGATGGAGCTGCTGGGGGACTCGTCAGGCTCGTCTCTGTCCTCAGACTGAAATAAAAAGCTGAAAGAAGGTCGAGCATGAGGAGGTCGTTTTGAAAATAATAAAAGTGTTCGATTAATTATTCAATTAAACTCTGTGAGATAGAGAAACTTGTTGCTGCTGCTGCCTTGTTCAGCTTTTCTCCAGAGAAGGGGGGGGGGCACAAAACAATATGAAAGACCCAGCAAGGTAACAAGAAGCCAGACAAACCACAGAGATGATCCACTGATGGAGAAACAGAAGAGGCATGTCGTGGTCCAGCAGGTACTCCTGGGTTTTTATCTGCGGGACTTTTGGCAGCTCAAAGACAGACGTGTGCAATATTTACTGAGTTCTTACATTATTAATGCATCTAAGGGAATGTTAGAAATCCTTCAAAAACCCAAGCTCAGACTTTAAAACACTCAGTGATGGTACTACGTCACAGCTGGATGCTGCTGTGAGGCTGCAGAGAAAAATAAACTCAAGTAAAACTTTTTCAGGAAGGATCTCAGCTGACACCGTCGGTAGTCTGGAGTCCGAGCCGTTCAGGGAATGACTCTCTGCACACAGCCAGGGTAACGAGCACACCATTAAATGTGAAAGTCTGGGTGAGAAGCACTCACTGTGGGAGAAGGAAAAGCCTTTCAGGGTGATTTGTGGTGCCAAACGCAGAGCAGGGACGGGATGTTAGCTAAACATGTCGCCTCCCTGCAGAACCGCCAGAGTTCTGCTGGTTCTACTGGGACCTCTGTTGGTACCGGGGCGTGGTGCTAACAGGTCCAGCAGTCATCCTGAATGCATGGATGTGTTGCCCCGAGCTGCCTATCTACAAACCTACCATCACAAAAGGCTTTTATTTTGAAAGGTATCTGTAAACAAATCAAAGTGGACATGAAATAAAGAGTATTTTTTCCCACATTTCCATCTTCCTATGCTTCCAACACCAACTATTATTGGGAATTTAACTAAAGTTAAATGGTTTATTTGTAAACAAATCAAAGCAGACRTGGCAAATATTGTATTTATCAATCTATAATCTGGATTATCCTCCCAGATTTAACAAAATATATCAAGCTTTGTGTTTTATTTGATCATCGTGACTGAAAATGGTTTCCTGAGTAAAGGCTCTGTCACTCTAGACAACTTATGAAACCCTTTTGATGTCTAAATTGCTAATAAGTTATATATTTGATCAATTTGTTAGAATTACATTATGTACACACCAAAAAGAAGCTTCCTGTTGATTTTTTCAATTCCATCTTCGATGTAGTTTTATTTAAAATGTTCATAAGTTGTGTAGTGTGACAGGGCCTTAACAGCCTGAGATTCAGGGTTCATCTCTGGACAATAACTCAGTCGGTGCAGGATGTTTTTAGCTTATGAAATTAAAAGATTTTGCGATTTATAAGTTTTGGTTTTGCTCCTTTATCTTTTCAATAATCAAAATTACTTTGCTTTATCATATAAAAATACAAGAAAGTAATTAAATGAGTTGGAAAACAAATGCATTTTGTTCCATCATGAAAACTAAAAACTAATTTATTGTGTTAGAAAATAAACCACTTTAAACAGATAAATAGTCCTTATAGTAATTTTAACTGAAGTTTTATTAAGATTCCAGAATGTATTTGTGTTTTAGAACGGCGCTGCATACATTTACTGGAGCTGATATATTTGTTTCACAAATGTGTGTGTGTGTGTGTGTGTGTGTGAGATAATCACTGCGTTTACTCACAGACTTCACGTGTGCAGAGAAACATCCCTGAAAACATCTCTGACCCACAAACCAAGCTCATGGCAGAAATGTGGAGCACTGACTTGGTAAAGTGTGTGTGTGTGTGTGTGTGCAGGAGTGCGTAGCTGTTTCTGACAGGTGTGTATCGCTGCTGCTTCACATATTTATGAAGAAGTTTTCCTGAGGAATCACAGAAGTGTGTCAGCTCCTGTAGACACTGTGAATRCACTTCCTGCTCAGCTGTAGTTTTATTTTTGTGGCGTTTAGAAGAACTGCAGCATYGCTGGGATGAGCAGCAACAAAGAGTGAAGGTGTGCTTCGACCCGACCGTGTGGAACAACGTCTGAATGAACTAATGAACTGAATGCAACAGATGCTGGATGCAGTCTGTCATTGTTTAGGCAGCAGTTCAGCCTCACTCACATTTAAAGATCTGTGGTCCACGTCTGACAGGGTTCCTACACTTTAAAACACGTTCAATTTAAGACTTTTTAATGCCAAATGAAATTAAATTTAAGACTAATTTCATAAWGAACACAAATGACAAAAAATAAAACTGTGGCAGAAACTCATGAATCAAAGTATTTTTGGTTGAAGTATTCAAATATTGCTAATAGAACAATTGTTTTTACCCATATCTAACTATAGCAGAAACATTCTTAGCAGTCAGTTTTAAATTTTATTTACTTTCATGAAATCCTCTAACAACTTCAAATCTGAAGTTTTAGGACCCACAGCGGGGTTTTAACCCCAGCTTGCTGTAGATGGAACCATAAAGTGTCTGTGACATCAAATGTTTGTAAGAAAAGTGAATGTATTTTTGGAAAGACATTATTATGATTTTAGAAAACAAATTTCCCGTTGCTCAGATGAACTGTTGAGATATCTGCATGTGAAATAACAGGAAGTGATTGATGTCAAACAGGAATGTCTGCATGTAAATATTAAAAAATATATTTTTTTACAATTATTTTAATATTTGAGATGAATTACATTCATCCTATTTAGAATGTGTTAACGTTTTTAAGACTTCTGAAGATTGATTTAAGACATTTTACGGCTAATTAAGGCCTTATTTTTGGATTGATGTTTTTAAGGATCTGCAGGAACTCTGGTCTGAATGTTGAAACATTAAAACAGTTTTTTCGTCTGTCTTTAGGAGTGACTCAAGCTTCGGGACTTGAAATGGTACAGGTAGAGGTGCAGGAAATGTGACTGGGATGGGATTGGAGGGGGATGTCGATGAGTTACCATCAAAACGACGACACGGCGGGTGTTTGGGTAGGTGGGCGGGGCTTAGAGTAAAATAGATTTTTACTGTGGGTGCTGGTGGAGGCCTGACCTCTGGTGGTTGGCAGCATGTCGGAGAGGCCCTGCCACGCCGTCACCATCTCTGGGTTCTTCTGGTCGGCGAAGTTCTTCCAGACTCGCAGCGCTCCGTCGTCTGAACCAAGAGGAGAGGAGACGGTTACAGAAACCAAACAAAAACCCCACGAGTTGAATGATCCAATGTTAAAAGATAAAGTTTGAAAACACCACCAGGCAGAGAACGCTGAATCCTAAACTTTTCTTCTACCATAAGCATCTCGTGAGAGAAAGAAAGAGTCAGGAAACTTGTCCTAAAAAGCTCTGCGGCTCAAACGCAGCTAAAAGCAGAACATAAAACACGTTCGTGCACGCTTATGAGAAAGCTATTACAAGCCATAAAAGTTTCCACATGATTTATGCTCAGTGTTGAACCTTTTTTTTTTAANGTGTGTGTGTGTGTGCAGGAGTGCGTAGCTGTTTCTGACAGGTGTGTATCGCTGCTGCTTCACATATTTATGAAGAAGTTTTCCTGAGGAATCACAGAAGTGTGTCAGCTCCTGTAGACACTGTGAATRCACTTCCTGCTCAGCTGTAGTTTTATTTTTGTGGCGTTTAGAAGAACTGCAGCATYGCTGGGATGAGCAGCAACAAAGAGTGAAGGTGTGCTTCGACCCGACCGTGTGGAACAACGTCTGAATGAACTAATGAACTGAATGCAACAGATGCTGGATGCAGTCTGTCATTGTTTAGGCAGCAGTTCAGCCTCACTCACATTTAAAGATCTGTGGTCCACGTCTGACAGGGTTCCTACACTTTAAAACACGTTCAATTTAAGACTTTTTAATGCCAAATGAAATTAAATTTAAGACTAATTTCATAAWGAACACAAATGACAAAAAATAAAACTGTGGCAGAAACTCATGAATCAAAGTATTTTTGGTTGAAGTATTCAAATATTGCTAATAGAACAATTGTTTTTACCCATATCTAACTATAGCAGAAACATTCTTAGCAGTCAGTTTTAAATTTTATTTACTTTCATGAAATCCTCTAACAACTTCAAATCTGAAGTTTTAGGACCCACAGCGGGGTTTTAACCCCAGCTTGCTGTAGATGGAACCATAAAGTGTCTGTGACATCAAATGTTTGTAAGAAAAGTGAATGTATTTTTGGAAAGACATTATTATGATTTTAGAAAACAAATTTCCCGTTGCTCAGATGAACTGTTGAGATATCTGCATGTGAAATAACAGGAAGTGATTGATGTCAAACAGGAATGTCTGCATGTAAATATTAAAAAATATATTTTTTTACAATTATTTTAATATTTGAGATGAATTACATTCATCCTATTTAGAATGTGTTAACGTTTTTAAGACTTCTGAAGATTGATTTAAGACATTTTACGGCTAATTAAGGCCTTATTTTTGGATTGATGTTTTTAAGGATCTGCAGGAACTCTGGTCTGAATGTTGAAACATTAAAACAGTTTTTTCGTCTGTCTTTAGGAGTGACTCAAGCTTCGGGACTTGAAATGGTACAGGTAGAGGTGCAGGAAATGTGACTGGGATGGGATTGGAGGGGGATGTCGATGAGTTACCATCAAAACGACGACACGGCGGGTGTTTGGGTAGGTGGGCGGGGCTTAGAGTAAAATAGATTTTTACTGTGGGTGCTGGTGGAGGCCTGACCTCTGGTGGTTGGCAGCATGTCGGAGAGGCCCTGCCACGCCGTCACCATCTCTGGGTTCTTCTGGTCGGCGAAGTTCTTCCAGACTCGCAGCGCTCCGTCGTCTGAACCAAGAGGAGAGGAGACGGTTACAGAAACCAAACAAAAACCCCACGAGTTGAATGATCCAATGTTAAAAGATAAAGTTTGAAAACACCACCAGGCAGAGAACGCTGAATCCTAAACTTTTCTTCTACCATAAGCATCTCGTGAGAGAAAGAAAGAGTCAGGAAACTTGTCCTAAAAAGCTCTGCGGCTCAAACGCAGCTAAAAGCAGAACATAAAACACGTTCGTGCACGCTTATGAGAAAGCTATTACAAGCCATAAAAGTTTCCACATGATTTATGCTCAGTGTTGAACCTTTTTTTTTTAAAGCTGTATCTTTAAAGTAATGGTATCCTTCCAGCATGACTGATGCAGGAAAGCTGAATGAGAGCACATTACATTTTGATGAGGGGGAATTTAAACGTATTAATCCTGGGAGGGTTTTTATCAGAGTGGGATGCTGCAGCGTTTGTTCTCAGTTTAACTTTACGCCCAACAAAACAAATGGGTTTGAATGTAGAGCTGTTTTCTGCAGATTCATGCTTTATGAAGATAAAGCAAAGGAGGATAATTGCTTTGTTTTATTGATGAGGAATACACGTGGGTGCAGCTGTGTTTGTGGGGTAAAGATAAAGTGTTTACGAGCCGCTACAAATATGACTTCCACTGTGTGGAGGGTTTTATTAACTGGAAATGTTTGGAGGAAATTTCACATGGTTACCACCCAAAAAACAAACATCTGAAGTGCTGCAGACAGATTCCTCCGTGCTACTGCATGCATGAGTTTGGTAGCAAGTAGTTCTGACCAATCACATGACAGATTCTTACGCTTGAGGGGGGGATTGACTCGAGCCTTGTGATGAGAACAATTTCTGTTGTGCAACAGTGATTGCATCTCAGTTCATGGGCATTTGTCACTTACGTCACTGMMCCGCACCCTATAGGCTGTCCCACTTTGTAGGTGCCTACTCATGCAGCCAACAAAACCCYGAAAACGTCGGCTGCATCTGAGCATCCTATGGTATCCCAGAATTCAATGCCCCGTCAGCAAGTTAAACGACGGTGGTTTTATTTGAAGTTTACAGCTGAGTTTTTGTTTTTTAAATGACAGAGTTTGGAATTCATCACAGACTGAAGAATGTAAGTTAATCAACTCAGCTGAAGAAACTTTTATTGCAATGAGATGTTCAATAAAATGCATTTCTAAGTACTGGTACAGGAGTTAAACCCAGGTTATTAATGTTTTATATTTATTTACTTGTAACTTTTTTCTATTAAAACTGAATTTTATGGAGCTATACCCTGAAGAAACAACTGAAGCCATGAGATCAAGGTAACGAGACAGCGCCTGGTCATGCAAACATATGTCTTCTGTAGACTAGACCATCTAATTCCACAGCCGTTTATGCAGCCGACCCATGAATTGAGACACAACCAATGACAAACAGACATAAAACAGGATAAACATAAGGATAAAATACTCCTAACTTTTACACAATGGAAGTCAATAAGAGTTTGGACATGTGTCCTCTGCAGAAAAGGTCCAACTTTCCGTTTCAACTTTTAATGATGTTTTTACTGTAGAACTATAACAGAGCTGTTGTCGAGCAGAGATTTTACACGTTAATAAAACTTTTACTACTACATTTTGATTTTCTAACGATGACCAGGAGAACATGGGCGCAGCGGGAACCAGCTGAACGTTGTGTCCCTGACCTGTTGCTGTGAGGAGTAGTGAGCAGTCATGTCCGTTCAGGTACTCCATGGCCGTGATGCGAGTGTAACGAGGGTTTCCGTTGTAGAAGTAGTCGAGCCTCTCGCCCTTCTCCCAGTCCCAGAAACTATAAGAGACAGAGGAAGTGATTAGAGCAGGATCAGCGTCACGGTTCTCATAACTGAGTGTGAAACTGAAGCGTCTCTGAGAAAAAGCTGCTCAGAGCGCGGCGCTCTCCAGCTCACCAGATGCTGTCCTTGTCGGCCACAGCGATGCAGGTGTTGAAGGGGTGAAACTTCACCACAGAAGGCACGCCGGGGTTACGGTTGATGAATATTTGATCATCCAGGCGAGAAATACCTGCGATGGAAGGGAGACACAGAGGGGTCACATGTTTGACTCCTGCAGACCCTAAAAACTGAACAAATTAATYATTTCTATGGTTCTGAGTAGTGCTAGTCCTGTAAATGCACTGTGTTTCCAGGAAATAACCAGAGTAAGTGCCCTAAATAAATATATGCATGATGGAGAGAAGGATTTATTCGTGACGATGCTCCTCGTTTTAAAGAGCCGAATCAGGAAACATCACAATTTAATCAGGGGGTCTTCAAACCACCAGTTCTTTAGCTGCAGATTTGATTCACTTTTGTACCAACTGATAGTCCTGTCACCATAACAAACTTTACTGGACGATAAATTGTCTCAGAAATTATTGCGATAAACAATATTATTGTTGGAGACCAGTTTAAACTAATAAACTGGTCTATCTRGTCTAATAAATRTAACAACCAGTTTACTGAAGTTTACATTAAAATTTAGAGTGTAAAAAGAAAAAACAACTGTCGGCAGTCCCAAGGTGTCTCCAGCTGTATGAAGGCGTCAGAAAACTGAAGATGCTCCTCTAAACGTCACAGGTTCTCAGGCTACTGAGGTTAGAGACCATCACCTGACAAATACCTGACAGAGTTCACTCCTCATAGCTAAGGAGTTAAAAAAAAAGAAACGACAGGGAGACACAAAGGAAACAAAAAGGCAGGCAAATGAAAACTATTGTCATTTAAATTTATCTTCCTCAGTTTGATCAGATGATTAATTGATTTATTGTTTATTGTGACAGGCCTACCAACTGATAAAAGTCTGGGACATAAAATTTATCTTTCCACACAAGTAAAGTTTTCAGAAATACATGGGAAAAGATTTATTGTCAGATTATAAAACAGAGAAAAAAAGCTGGATTAATAAAAGAAAATAAATATATTTTTGACAGGGCAAAAAAATGTTATAAAAAAGTTATTTGATGGCAGAAAACTAAAAAAGAAGAAGAAGTGGCATCTTTTAACGAAACACAGAGTCAACCCCACAAGTAAACCATCTCATCGTACAGTTTGTTGTCATGGCAACAGCACACACCAGTTCACCAGCCTCTTCTTGGCTCCATGAATTAAACATCAGGACTGTCACAATCAAACCAGATCAGGACTGTCACAATCAAACCAGATCAGGACTGTCACAATCAAACCAGATCAGGACTGTCACAATCAAACCAGATCAGGACTGTCACAATCAAACC